TATAATCGCGTCGAACCACCGTTAGCCAAAATCACGAAAAACCTCCCACCAAAAACACGCTCAAAAAACACTCACCTCCTTCCTGGTTTATCATTTTTCCTATTCTCTCGTGCTGTTCCTTTTTTTTCTAGTGTGGTATTTTTGATCCTTGGGTCTCTTTTTTTGCATGCTTTGTGATATTGTCATGCACGATCGACCACATTGATCTACACGTTCAATATCACCAGCTCTTCTTATATGTGTCGATACATGTACTCTTAAGCATTTCTCGCTGGCATATACCGTTTTCACCGTTCCTACTCGCGCGTTAGTTTGAGCGCCAGACGTGTTCGTGATTTGACCGCTAATGTTGACTGTTCGTATAACCGGTCGAACGGCCTGCGGCAACGGCGATGCGTGTGAATTCTGAAAAATACACGTAAAATGAGTCGATCCAGCCTCACGCGGGCGTGCATGGACTCACTGCCAAATCCGGTCGTGACGATTCGTTTCACACTTGTCCTCAAACCACTTTTTATTTTTTTCACCGGGGTGGTCCCTCGACAAAACCAAAGGAGGACTATCGAGAATTTGTCTAACTAACCAAAACCATGATCAACCTAGCAGATCTCATTCTGACCTACGTTCCTCTCCCCGCTGTACCATCCCATTTTACGACATGGCAGCCCGGTAAAACGCCTCTGTCGACTACACCCGTAGTTGTATCCGTCATGGCGGGTTATTTAACGACTATTTTCACTATCCAACATTTGTTGAGGGACAAACCCGCCTATGTGCTCAACACGCTCTTCCGAGCGCACAATATCATCCTCAGCGTCGGCAGTGGTGTCTTGCTCGCGTTGATGGTGGAAGAGATTGGTCCTATTTGGTGGAAACATGGGTTTAGGTATGCGATTTGCTCTACGAATGCGTGGACGCCGGTGAGTAGTTGGTTTTTCGTGTTGTTGGCTAGTTTCGACTTTGCGCAAATCCGCTGCCTATAAAAGGGCAATGAAGGCTTCTCCGCGCTGCGTTGCGCATGCTCGTCGTGCTATGACCGCGTTTTTTTACGTGTACTTTTTTGGTGATATATTTGGCTGACTCTCCTTTCTTTTCGGGGATGGGTCATCGCCGACTGTTAGCGTATGGAAGTGTACTATATCATCAACTATTATATCAAATACGTGGAACTCATCGACACTGTTTTCCTTGCCCTCAAGAAGAAGCCATTAGGTGAGTGTTTTTTGAGCGTGTTTTTGGTGGGAGGTTTTTCGTGATTTTGGCTAACGGTGGTTCGACGCGATTATA